ACTTGAATTGCCTCCCTGGAACTTCCATAGAAGACTTCCCTTACATCACTGTCAAGTATTGGATCATGTAGCCACTTGGTCTTCAAGGAAGGCTGGCACATTAGTGTGGCAGCTGGACATACTGTTGTGCCAGTAAAGCAGGAGTCCATTGGTGAGGAAGAAGATAATAGGTATTGCGTGGACAACCCACAGCCCTGCCTTCTAGGAATAAGTAATCAAGCAAGGGAAAAAGTATGCCAAAGAAGCCTGGTGCACAGGAGGTGTTTTGTAGTCCTTAATTTGGACCCTTTTCCCCTAAAGCTGAACTTGTTACAGGGACTTGGGAGCATGTAATTTATCTGAGAGGCAATCCCAGGAAACAGGCATGAGGGCTCAGAGAGAATGAGATGGATACGGAGCAAAAGCCAGTTATAAGACACATTATCAAGCATGTTGCAGTAGGTGATGGGGGTTGAGGGGATATCTGGGAAGCACACACAGCATCTGTCATTGTCTACCTGCAGGATGGTGGAGCTGAAGAATGTATCTATTGCCTCTGGCTCTCATTAGTTGAGCACTGCCCCTGGGGGCATTTACTCCCCCTCATTTCCTGGTTGAACTTTATCAGATGAGGAATTACACACACACACACACACACATACACACACACACACACACACACACACACACACACACCAGGGAAGACTCTGGGGCAGAATGTGTTTGTCACCCTTAAAGTGGCACTCTGGCTGTGCAAGTTGAATCTGAGCTCACAGGAAACTGGCGGAGCTGTCCAGCAAATGGCGGCTGAAATCAGAGGTAGGCTGGGTGCAGGGACACAGGCATCAGCAGCATCTCCCCTTCATGAAAAGTTCATATTTATAATAAAATCTAATCATTGTGCTCTAACATGACCACTGGCCAAACTGTCCCCCTTTTCGTGGCATGGATGTGACCCTTAATTATGCAATATTCTGCATGTCATTTTTTTTAAAACAGCTTTGTTGAGATAGCATCAATATACCATACAATTCACCTAAAGTGGACAATTCAATGGTTTTTAGTGTATTTTAGCATTTTCACTAATGACTAATCATATTGAGTCTTTTTTCATGTGCTTGTTGGACATATCTTCCTCGGTGAAATGTCTACTCAAATCCTTTGCTGCCTATCATTAAATTGGGCTGTTTGTCTTTTTGTTATATTAAATTGTAAATGTTCTCTATGTATTCCAGATACGTGTCCCTTATCAGAGATCTGATTTGTAATTACTTTCTCCCATTCTTTGTGTTGTCTTCTCATTTTTGTGGCATCTTTTAAAATACAAAAGTTGCTAATTTTGAGAAAGTCCAATTCTTTTTTTTTTTTTTTTAGATGGAGTCTCACTCTGTTGCACAGGCTGGAATGCAGGGGTGCAATCTCAGCTCGCTACAACCTCCGATTCCTGGGTTCAAGCAGTTCTCCTGTCTCAGCCTCTCAAGTAGCTAGGATTACAGGTGCGCACCACTACACCTGGCTAATTGTTATATTATTAGTAGAGACAGGGTTTCGCCATGTTGGCCAGGCTAGTCTTGAACTCCTGACCTCAGGTGATCCACCTGCCCCAGCCTCCCAAAGTGCTAGGATTACAGGCATGAGCCACTGCACCCAGTCCACAATTTTTCCCCTTGTTGTTTGTACTTTTGAGAGTGAGGAAGGAGTGCTGAACCCTGTCAGTTTGTCAGCAAGGAGAGAGGGTGGTAAATTAGTGTATGAAATTTAAGAAAAGCTGTAAAGAATAGTTGACATTTAAGCTGGATCTTGAAGAATAAGGAGGTGTACCAGGCACAAAATTGAGGAAGAACTTTTCAGGCACAGAGACCACCTGGGTGGATTATCTCCTAGAATAAGAATCTTCTTGTTACATTTACTATAACTGATTCAAAACAGACACCCCCACATATGCCAACAACATACGGTAAACACTGACAGAGACTGTCATGTCTTGCAATTGTTATTAATAAAGCCAATTCATTTACACAAGATTCAATTAAAATGTAATGCTGCATCTGTGCAACTCCCCCAGGAAAGTGGGAAGTAGTGTTTGGAGAAGACCAAATAAACACTCATTAGTGAAGACGATACCTCTGAGGACACAGGTTTTAAGTACTAGGTCCCATCTGCTCTCTTTGAAGGATGCACACAACCAAGAATGAAAGCAAGAAAAGGTGTTCAGTGCTCAGTGCGTGCCAAGCACAGAGCAGGAAAAGACCTAGTAGATAACAAATGGTCCCTGCCTTATAATCTAGCTTTGCATGTATGACCCATGCTCTTGAAATCACAGACTGGATGTGACCCCAAGGGTAAGAGAAGTTCCCAAAAGGATTAAGAATGTGTTTTTTTCCAACCTGGAAGAATAGTGGCTTGGCATCAGAAATTAAGACGCTCTGTTGAAAACAAACAGAAGTGGAAGTGTATCTTCAGGGCAACTTAAACTCATGCTCTTGACAAAAATATTTTTTAAAAAAGCAAATAAACAAAAGTATTTCTCATGCCCCTCAGTTCATAGACTGAAACTCATGCCGACATGCATTTTTTTATTTTAGTAAAAACTGTCAAACTGTGAAACTTTTCACAAACACTAGAAATGCATGAGAGTGTCCTCCCAATATTCTCACCTGAATTTAGCATCTTTTTATCTCTTGTCAATCTAGCTGGGAAAATGATATTAAAATCTTATTTTGACTGGCATTTCCCCAACTTCCTAGATGGCTTCACATCTTTTCATGTTTATTAACAATTTGCATCTCCTCTTCAGTAAATTATTATTTATATCCTTTGACCAATTTTCTTAGAGGTAAATTATCTTTTTCTAATTCATGTGAAAGTAGTAAGAGATAGTAACTTTACCTATAGCAAATGTTTTCATCCTGTTTTTCTTTTAAATTAGTTTCAGGGTGTTTTTCCATACTAAATTTTAGATTGCTCATCTTGCTTAAGATCTTTCCACCCCAAGGATCCTAAGTTTTCTTCTATTTCCATATGTATATTTTTAATATTTCTCACACCTACACACATATACATAGTTAGATGGACAGATGGATCAATTCATCTAAAGTGAGTGTGTGTGTGTGTGTGTGTGTGTGTGTGTGTGTGTGTGTGTGTGTAGGGGTGAGACGACTCAGTGTTTTCTGAGTTCATATGACCTATATGGGGAATCAGATCTAACATGGACCAAGTGTTAAACCATACTTCCAAGAACAACACTACATTAGTAGGCCACCTGCTAACTTCTGCCTTTCACATTTTCCAGCTTAAAACATCTCCATCCTCCCCATTATATAAGAAAGAAGTAGAAGTGTTTCTGACTGCTCCCTCTCCCATGATCTCATAACCCATCAGTTTTGAAGCTACATTATCCAACCTCCTGAATCTCTCTGACCACCCTCCAAGTCCTCCAAGTCCCCATGGCCACTCCCTTGCCCCAGGCCACCATCATCTCACCCTGGGTCTTTGCAGCACCCTCTGCCCCGGACTCCCTGGCTTACGTGCTCATTCCTTCTAATTTCATTCTCCACGCTGCAACCAGGAATATTCCTAAAATACAGACCCCATCTCATTCCTGCCCTACCTATGTTTCTTCCACAGCCCCCACTGCTGTCAAGGTACTGTCCAAATTCCCACATCTGGCTGAGGCTGTCCTGCAGGATCCAGGCAATTCTCAGCTTTTTCAGAAACCTGTGCAGCCTCATATCTCAGACTGTGTCTCCTATTTCCATGCTCTGACCAGAGCAGACTACTTGCAGCACTTTCAAAAGCCCAAGATTCTTTTTCAGTGGAGCTCAACTGTGACTATGCCCCACCTCAGCTGTCAAAACTTGCAAACACACTTGTTCAGGTCTTACACCTGGGTGATTCTGACTCCGTGAGTCAGGTGGAATCTCCAAATCCACAATCTGTGATGACTCCTATGACCAGCGTGCTCTCTGCCTCCAGGCTGCAGACGTTTCATTCCCTCTGCCTGGAGTCCTCTTCTACCTCCTCCAGCTCCAGCCCCACCCCACCACCCACCCCAAACTGGATATGGCATCTCCCTCCTTGAAGTCAAATCATAGGTGCTCCTTCCTCCAGGAGCTTTGACAGTCCAGGTTTGGGCTCTTCCTCTTTGCATCCCTGGTTTCCTGGACGTTCCTGATTCAAGCATTCATTGATTCCTCTTCTTCCACCCCAAACTCTGAGTTCGGGAAAGCCTGAGATAGTGGCTGCTGTCTTGCTCACCACTCTGTTTCCTGCACTCAGCAGAGACCTGACACATAGTAGGTGCTCAATAAATGTTTGCTAAACAACAACAACAAATGAATGAACAAATAAACAAACAAATGAACAGACGAGTGGATGCCTGTGGCAGTTTCCATGACAAACACAAACGGCTCGGCCAAGCCAGCAAGCAGGCAGCCGTGTGGCCTGCAGAGGGCACCAGTCTGCTTCTTCATCTCCCTGCAGAATCCTCAGGGCCAGGCACCTGCTGTCAGTCAGAGAGGTGCGCGATGCTCAGTGGTCATTCTGCTGCACTGAAGATTAAGTAGGAGTTGTTTGCCCTTGGCCAATATAAAAAAACCTGAGCGTTCTCCCTTCACTTCTAGCGACAAGTAACACATCCCCTGTCTTGCCATGAAAAGAGCTGTAACTGTAGCAACCGGTGGCAGGTTTTCTGTTCCCAGGTGGGGAAGTGAGGAGAGACAAACAGAGGGGTGAGAGGAAAACAGAAGGAAGACTTGCTGGTAAGAGACCCTATGATGTATTTTTTCTATGTAAACAAGGTCAAAACTGCTCCTCCGGGAACAGCAAAGTTCTCCGCATGTCTCCAAGCTACGAACTTGCATGCTAGCTACTAACTAGCTACTCTCCCTCTCTCTCTCTTCCCCCTTCTCTCTGTGTGTATGTCTCTCTCTCTGTCTCTTCCTCCACCCTCTCTCACTATCTCTCTCTCTACCTTCAACATCCTTTTATTCTAGGGGAGAACAAACTCTAAGTTCAGATTGAATGAGCGTCCAAAAGAAGTATCTGGAGGGAGATTTTGTCTTCCCTCCTACGGACCCTGCTGGAGCCCCAGCTCAGATCAGCCCTCTGTCAGCAATGAATGCTTCGTGCTGCCTGCCGTCTGTTCAGCCAACGCTACCTAATGGCTCGGAGCACCTCCAAGCCCCTTTCTTCAGCAACCAGAGCAGCAGCCCGTTCTGTGAGCAGGTCTTCATCAAGCCGGAGGTTTTCCTGGCCCTGGGCATCGTCAGTCTGCTGGAAAACATCCTGGTTCTCCTGGCCGTGGTCAGGAACGGCAACCTGCACTCCCCAATGTACTTCTTCTTCTGCAGCCTGGCGGTGGCCGACATGCTGGTGAGCCTGTCCAATGCCCTGGAGACCATCATGATCGCCATTGTCCACAGCAACTACCTGATCTTGGAGGATCAGTTTATCCAGCACATGGACAACATCTTCGACTCCATGACCTGCATCTCCCTGGTGGCCTCCATCTGCAACCTCCTGGCCATCGCTGTCGACAGGTACGTCACCATCTTTTACGCGCTCCGCTACCACAGCATCATGACCGTGAGGAAGGCCCTCACTTTGATCGTGGCCATCTGGGTCGGCTGCGGCATCTGTGGCGTGGTGTTCATTGTCTACTCGGAGAGCAAGATGGTCATCGTGTGCCTCATCACCATGTTCTTCGCCATGATGCTCCTCATGGGCACCCTCTACGTGCACATGTTCCTCTTTGCGCGGCTGCATGTCAAGCGCATAGCAGCACTGCCACCTGCCGACGGGGTGGCCCCACAGCAACACTCATGCATGAAGGGGGCAGTCACCATCACCATCCTCTTGGGGGTGTTCATCTTCTGCTGGGCCCCCTTCTTCCTCCACCTGGTCCTCATCATCACCTGCCCCACCAACCCCTACTGCATCTGCTACACTGCCCACTTCAACACCTACCTGGTCCTCATCATGTGCAACTCCGTCATCGACCCGCTCATCTACGCCTTCCGGAGCCCGGAACTGCGCAACACCTTTAAGGAGATTCTCTGTGGTTGCAAGCGCATGAACTCGAGATAGGATGCAGGGCCATGGAAATGATCATCAGTCGGGTCACTTTTGACCCTCCATCCACCCAAGATGTTTAGAAAGAAAAAAAAATACTTAGAAGATATAAAAATGTGTTAACAGCCATGATTGTACTTGTCGTTTGTTTTTAAGTTTACAAAGCCTTTTAAAGGGGGAAATGGTGAATAACAGACTCTCTGAAAGGATTCTAAGATGGGGAAGTCACAAACTCTGATTTCCCAAATAGTCACTGGGAGAAATCAGCGAAGGCTTCTCTGCGTGCTCTCTGCACTCATTTCCAAACACCCAGAGTGTGTGACGCCTGTCTGCTCATCTGCTCCACACCCACGTCTTCACGCTCCAGGTCAGACCAGACTGAAGGATTCTCATGAACAATAAGGGTGGTTGAGATCTCTTGCAAGCAAACCTGTTACAGCTACCACCTCCTGCTGCCAGCTGCACGGATAGATAGCTTTGCACTCATAACTCCATAGGAGACCGAGTTCTACTCTATTATTGTATTTGCAGTTAGACAACTGCCCCTTTGTGAAAGAAGCAATGCTATGCTGTTTTCCCCTTTTCTTACCCCCATATCCCTTCAGTTGTCCCCACCCCCAAAGGTAGCATAAGGATGGAACCCACTTCTATTTTTCTGTTGTTGCATTGGTGTTTGTTGTTATTATTTTTATGGATTAAGTCTGAGACAACCTTCAAAACTCTAACGAAAGAGAGAAAGTGTTTTAGACAATCAGAATATACTTGTGTACTTATATTTTGATAGCTTGCTATTTTAGGGTATAAATTACTCTTTTTAAAATAACTTCTTTTATTCTATCATTTATTTTTAGCCTTTAAAATAAGAAAGGAAATCATGGGTTGGGTGTACAGTACGTGTGTGTGTGTGTGTGTGTGTATGTACATATATATATATCTTACACACAAGAAATTGCTTTACTGTAGCTTAAGATAGTTTGAGAAACTGTAGAACCACCGTGTGGCTTTCTTGGGAGCCCTTGCTTTTGCTTATAGCAATTGCATCTCTATAACAGGACTTCTTCAATATTATCTATGAAAGAGAAAGGGTTTCTTTTGTTCTTTTCCCCTTTTGCTTGTTCTTTTCCCCTTTTGTGTTAAAGTTGGATGACCCTATTATCAATGTCTATACCTTATCAACTACAGGAATTCCTTCCTGGGAGCAAAGGGTGAGATTGGCTGACTAGAGCTGGCATTGTCAGATCCTTTTCTGCCCTAGATAACTTCAGTTTGTGCTTTCTGGCTGTGCCCATATCTACCCATCACAAATTCTTATATTAAGCTGTGTGTTGGGGTGCAATTGTGTGTTTATCTTGTGCTAGCATACCTTGGGGTTCTTTTGTTCTTGAAGATTTTCTGCTAATGTAAGCAAAACCATTCCTTTCTTGCTTTATGATGTTTGGAAATAATAAAAAGCTTTTATGGCTGCTAAATGTGTGCTACATTGAAATATACCACCTGGAATCACTCTGGTGACTCCTGCACACGGCCATGGTATGTTTCACTGCAATTCAGTCATGACTTTGTAAGCGGCATAAACAGCTCCATTGACCACAGTGCTAGTCTTTTCTAGGGCAATGCCTTTTAGCCAGACTACAAAACTCTCCCATTTAGTTTCCAAAAATACCAGGTTTGTGGTTCCCGGGCCACTGTCATTCCCCATTATTTTAATCAAGACACTAAATCACAGGACTCTTCTATGGCCACTCAGTGGGTAAATGTAGAGAAGGGGGAATCTAATTATTTGAAAGTGATATGAGTAGCTATAGGGATTACGATGTCTTTTTTCTATGTAAACAAGACAAAAATAACTTACTTTTCACTCTTATATCAATTTTCACATTATTTCATTTTATCCCGTTAGCAAACCTCTAAAACAGGTGAGTCATTTTACAAATGAAGAAATTTGGTCTTGGAGGGGTGATGTGGTTGTCCGGGAACGCCCAGCTAGTTAGGGTCATGGTATATTGTGCATCCTGGGGCTGATGTCCTTTTGCACCAATATGCTGCTGCCAACAGGTTTTCATCATCAAAACTGATCCCCCTCTCCTCCCTGTATGTTTTAGCTTGCAGGGGCACTTCCAAACTGGAAGGCCCATGAGCATCACCCGGCATCTTGTGCAAGTGCGGAATCCAATTTGGCAGGTCCAAGGTGGGGACTAAGAGTCTGCATTTCTAACTCTGACAAGCTCCTCGGGGATGTGGCTGCTGGTTCGCGGACCCCATCTTAAAGAGCAAGGGCATAGAGGATTTTCAAATGAGCATTATGCGAAGTAAAAGTACTCTTCTGCCTGGAATGCTGACCCCGCACCAGGGACTGTGCTAAGCACTTCACAGGCATTTGCTCCTCGTGATAACCCTACCAGGTAGATACCATGGTTATCCTGATTTTACAGATGAAGGATGTGAAACTCAGAGAGCCTGTCTATAGGAACTCAGTCAGCAAGTAGAGATAGGGAGACTCGAACTCAGGCTGACCAGCCCCCACCCCCAAATCTAACCCAGTGTCCTAGCACCTCTCGCGAAGACACAGGGACCTTTGAGCTGGGACCCAGTGACCTGGGAGCCATGTGTTGCCATGCAGAGAGAATCTGATGCATGTTTCTACCACACACAGGTTCAGATGTTCCCAGCAGTTTCCAGAGAGATGTCATAAAAATCAAAAGGCACAATTAATTATTTAAGTTGCTATACATTTTCCAAAGTCTGTGAGTAGCCCTGGGGAGTGCATCAAAGAGGTAAGTTACAGAGACATCCGTTTCTCTAGTGAACAACCCTGAATGCTGGGGTGCCACTGTCTCCTCCCCGAACGCTTTCTCAGATTCTCAAGTGGGAACTCACCAGATATTTCAAGCGGCAGGACAGTCATGTTTGAAAATGCTTAATGGTTGGAAGTAAAAGCACACCATGATTTTAGTTCATTTGTTAATTCATTTGTCGCTTTTCACCCCTATCCCCAAGACAGAATCCCTGCAGCACTTGATTCTGAGTCCTGAGACGTCGTTGCCTGCTGTCCTTATTTAGGATGAACTTTTGATTTTAATTTTGAAATCCTTCCACAGGGCTGGGTGCTAAAACCTACTATAGCCTCTCCGGCTGAAAACATTTTTTAATTCACCCTCACCTCCACTAAAATCCATTCGCCACATAGCAGCCAGTGCAATTATTTAAAAATATAAATCAGATTATATTGCACTTCTGCTCAAAACTTTTCAGTGTCTCCCATGACCTTTTGAATAAAAGGTCAGTTCCTTACCCAGCCCTACTAAGCTCTAGTCATCTGATCTCTTCTGATAACTCTCCAGCCGCCCCTTACACTGTGCCTCTGCCCCGCCCCCAAACCAGACTCCTATTTGCCATATGCTCCTCTCTGCCCCAGGGCCTTTGCAACCACTGTGTTCCCTGCCTCGAGTCTCTACCTCAGATCTTCTTGGCACAGGCTTCTTCTTAGCCTCCAGCCCAAATCCTCAGAGGCCTTCCCTGACTACTCTCTCTAAAGGAGGACCTCAGTCACTCACACCGTCACTGTTTTATCACAGATCTTATTGCTATTTTATATTTTCTTGTTAATTTATTTGATTTATTCTCATCAATCTCTCTCACCAGAAAGTAGTACCTAGGAGATAAAAATAGTCAATAAAAATAGGTCACTTTATTAATACATTTAAATACGAGCTCAAGTCTAACCAAAGACAATATAGCCCACTGGAGATTCTCAAATTTTGGTGACTGTCAGCACCATGTGAAGTTGGAGAAAGACAGCCTGTTGCCTGAACCTCATGATCCAATAGATCAGAATCATCTCCAGATATCTGAGAATTTTAAAATTCACAGGTGATTTTCTGAGTTTGGTATACACAGTGTATGACGTCCACCAAACTCAGAAAACCACCAAAACCAACAAGTACTGACTATTATCCTTAGAGAATAACAAAAATCAACACCTCAGGAGCTTACGCATCTGCCCTATCACCCGCTCCTGACATCCTTTCATGTCAGGGTGTCAGCTACCTTAAGTTAATGTTGGATCATCCAAAAACCAATGCAAATCTGGAAACTCGGAAGAACCAGATAACAAAGTGAAGAATAAAAGAGAAACCCTTCAATTAGACAACTCAACCTTTCACATCTAAGAGCACTTATTTAGGAGCCAAATCAATAAAAATAATAATAAAAGACATTATATGGTGTTTATTATGTGGCTGACACCTTATTAAGCACTTAGGTATATTAACTTATTTAATCCTCGCCAAAACCCCATAAGGCAGGCACTTTTATCCCTTGTCCTATAGATAAGGAATCTGTGGATGACAGACGTTAATCATCTTGACCCTCTTGACCGATACTACTCAGCAGGGAAGAGGCAGAGCTGAGATGATGGGAAAATGACCACTAATCCTACAGTCTTAAAGAAGCACTCATGCATTGAATTCACTTTTCTTTAATCATCAGAGATGTAGATAAAAACCAACACACAAGGACACCCAAGGCAGTAGCAGCAGCAAGGGAAAAAAGGCTTTGGAGGAGGAGCCAGGCAGTGCTGGCTGTGCATCCTTAGGCGAGTCTCCTGACCTCTGGGTGCCTCATTGGCTCGTCGGCAAAGTGGGAGCTCTACCTACTTACGTGGCAGCAAGCAGTTGTGATGATTCAGTAAAGCATAACAATGTCCCAAAATAATTAGCACATGAACTTCACGTCCCCTTTCCCCTTCGCTTGCTGGACTCTAGACATTTCTGACATTGCCTGCAGTTTTCCTGCCCCTCATCTCCCAGGTTCCTGAAAACAGGAGTTATTAATGAGGGGAAGGAGAGGAGAAGGCGAAAGTTGAGCCTAATGTTTCTACAAGTACAAAGTGAATTCCACTGAGGCATACGAGATGGTTTGTGATGGGTACCCATATCAACACATGCCCACTTTCCTTCACAGAATAACTTTCCAAGTAAACAACAATTTAAATATTTTAAAGTGTATTAACATAA